AAACACAATAAGCAAAGCACAGGCTTCTGTTAAATCACTACATTTATTCAGCTTGTGAAAGTACATATTAAATATTACCCTGTTTTTTTGTCTGGTATTGAACCGTAATGTAATTTACTATGTCAAACAAGATATTAAAAATAAATTCTATAAAAATCCAGGGAAACACATGTAAAGTGTAAAACTGTTTGAAATTCGTATAATGGAACATATGCACAATTTTTGCACAACCACATTATTGCAGCAAGTAAAAGAATGCATGTTTACACAGATATTCAGTTGGTTAATATGAAAATATTTTAGTTGGATTACAGCTTTTCAAAGCGTGAATAATACATAATTGTTTGAATCAACAAGTGTGTACAAATGGAAATGATGCAAATGGTGTGTGAGTTGCATGCATGTTGCGGTGTGTAAATGTGTTTGATATGTCAGTGCGTATGGGGTTTTGTTTGTGTGTGTCAGTAGTGGAGTCGAGCCAGCAGCCAGCGGAAGAAGCCAGTCCTCTTGGATCCAAAGAAGCTGACGAAGAAGTTAATCACCGTGGTGATGAAGATGACGCCTGTAGCAAGGTTGTTCAGGTAGTCGAGTCGCTTCTGATTGGACACCACGTTCAGGTCCCTGCGGGCTACAACACACAGGCATACAAACACACACGGACAGACACACAAACACACAATTTCAAATGTTTCAAACACTTCCATCCACACCGACACATACAGGTGATGCATGCATACTCACACGTACACATAGGCCTACTCACAATGATCCCATTAAAACAAACATACAGAAACGCACCCATACAAACAGCAGTCAGTCACCCTCAAGCTTCTGTCTAGTTTATGTGACATTTAACACAGCTGCTGTTTTATTTGTATTAAATAAATTCGACATGAAAGATGTAATCCCCTCACTCAACAAATACAGTTTAATGCTGCCCTCGAGGGAAGAACCCCCAGCGGCTCCTGTTAGATTAAGCTGCTCAGTAGCACTTTGAGAAGATGTTGTGGAGCTGAGGCAGACAAGCAAATGGTGCGAGTGATAGGCTGAGGCACCGATCAATCAAGGCAAACACAGTTTTCTTGATGTCTTTTTACGGGTCTTAACTCACTGAGCTTTGATCTCTAGCTATTATGTTTCCTAGGTAGAGCAGGTGAAGAAATGTTTAAATCTGAGAAAAACAAATGTTGTAGGCCTAAGGATTACATTGGCTACTGAGACAGTTATATTTTTCATTCAATTAAATACAACTAGAGTTTTCCTGAAACTGACAGACAGCAGCCAATAGATGTTCAGCATCCTAAAGGAATAGTTCAACAATTTTGGAAATTATATATACTTTTTTGCCAAGAGTTAGATGAGAAGAATGATAACCTCTCTCATACTGTAAAAATGAAGTTGGAGCTAGCAGCTGGTAACTAAAAAAGTGAGCTTTAGAAGTGCAGGTAGGCACATTTTGTTACATTTGGGCATAGTCAGGCTCTCTGCTTTCCCCTTTTGCTAGTCTTTGCGCTAAGCTAAACTAAGCAAAGCAAAGCTAAGCAAACTGGCTGCTGGCAGTATATTCATGTTTACCACACAGATGTAACACTGAAAGTTTCCTTCTACATTTTGCTTTGAGGCTAAATGCTGGAGCGAACTCCCAATCTGAATGTGTGTATGTTCATGAGTGTAAAGGTGTGTCACACTACAGTTATAAACTGCATTTTGTTCAGCAACAGAATGGATAAAAAATTAAGCTGGATTAGTAGGATTACATCTCTACTTTGGCGCCATCTGGTGGTAGTATCATGAATAGTGTGGAAGTATGCAAGTTTTTATCAATTTAGACGCATAAATTCTACACAAAGCAACTTTGAATATGCGCTTTTATGTTAGTTTTTGTGGATGAACGTACGTATATCGTGCAAATGTCCCAAATGTGTATCATAGAATGAAACGCTGAAGCAGCCATCGCAGGAAGCAGCTGCGTTGTGTGCCGAAGGCGGCTTTGATGATGTTGACGATGAGGGTGAGGAAGATGATGCCGGTGGTCAAATTGTTAAGGAAGTTCAACAACCGCCGATATGAGGGTAGGAGGGTTAGCTCAAGACGAGCTGTATACACACACACACACACACACACACACACACACAAAGAACATACATTACATGCACAGGCAATTTGAACACAAGCACACACACACACACACACCACACACACACACACACTAGTTGGTCCTTTGGCCCAGTCCATTCACACTGAATAAAATCAAATAAAGACATCAGAGTACAGTAATAGTGATAGTGATTAGTACTATAAGTAGAACAATGAGTATGTGTTCCTGTGTGTGTGTGTGTGTGTGTGTGTGCATGTGCGGGTGGGGGTTGCATACATATATATATATATATTATATATATGTATATAGCAATTGTAAGCCGCTTTGGATAAAAGCGACAGCTAAATGAGTAGGCTACATGTAAATGTGTGCGTGTGCCCTATGTTGAATGTGTCATAATCTTTCCCTGCTTCTCAAAAAAATAAAAAACATCTGCATAAAAATAATTCCCTACGTCAGAAATTCAGAAATGCATCCTGGCAAAGAGGCCCGTGCGCTCCATCCCAAAGACGGAGATGAAGATGTTGGTGATGAAAATGAGGAAGATGATGACGGTTGTGGTGTTGTTCAGGCTGTCCAGGCGCTTCTGGTTGGTCTCTTCGGTGACGTCTCGCCGCGCTGCAACAAACACACACGTACACACACACACAAATACCAAAAATAACAACAAAACAAAAACTGCAAAACTGCTCTCATCATCCTTTTATATTCATAGTTGTTTTTTATAGAAGATATTTGTTTGGTTCGACGTTTAACACGGAACATATTATCTGCCAAAATAGACAAGAAAGTGAGTGGACTTCAACCTACACTGCCTGTGTGTTCAAATAAATGTGTCAGTTTATTAGTATGTTAATATGATTGGTTAAAAACATGGAGGATGGATTTCTGGAGGTGGTCTTGAAGCAGACTAATGCTTTAATGTGATTGGCTTACCAATGATGATGATCAGGACTCCAGCCACTATCTGGAGGGCCAAGGAGAAGGAGATGAGTGTCAGGACAGCAATGTAATACCTGAGGAGGAGAGAGAAAAAAAAATTATGCAATATGTAGTTATCAAAAAATACAGTTTGAAGCAACAGTAAATTTGAAAATTCAAGACCTTGAAACCTAATAAAACTCTTCTATAATTTCAATGAATATATAGGCAGAATGTTTGTTCATTCAGTTATATTTTCTCCTTGGCAAAACACTAGTTTTAACTGAATTGACAGTGGAACTTTGGAAACCGTGTAAACATTTCTTATTTAAAACACTAAAAGAAAGTGATCTGTCTTTCCCTCACACATACTGTACCTGTATCCAGCTCCCTGTTCGATTACAGTCTTCATGTGTGTGATGTTAGCCAGGAACAGAGCGATGTCCAACATGCCCTCAGCTGCTGTCTTTTTGGTGGCATACAGGTTCATGTTCAAATTAGAGGCTGAACCTCCCTGAAAGAGAAAGGTACAGATTTCAGACATCAAGAAAAACGCATCAGATGAAGTGTGTGTTTTATTTATCAATTCTTGTGACCAAATCCGAGCCAGAAAAATGTATTAATGACAGATTCACCGTCCAGGTCAACAAGATATTGATTTTCATTATCAAAAGATAAGTAAACTGTTGTCATTGCTTATTAATTGGACCCTACATAGAACATTGGAATTATATTTGTCATCACACAGTTTCAGGAGCCATTTTCCTGTATTTGTGTAGGGATGAGATAAGCGTTTCTTTTATTTTGGCAGTTTAAAGCTGGAAAATGTTTTAATTTTTCTTATGCTTCATTTACCATGAGAGCTCTGATTGCAGCTCATTTTCCGATGGTTGGGAGTAATTGTTTTTTGAGTGGTGAATAGTTGCACTTGGTTGCACATTAGAGGCTTCAGAAATCAACTGTGTGTATGCATGTACATGTGTTGTATGTTAGAGTAAAGTAAGTAAGTGTGTGTGTGTGTGTGTGTGTGTGTGTGTGTGTTGCATTACATAACACTGCAATATAGATTAAAGTGTTCTGTCCACAAACAGACTGGCTGTGTCAGTGTAGTTTGAATCAGTGCTGTCTGTTCTTTAGATTGCACAGAAACAGAGATGTGTTTAAGGAAGACATACATCACATATATAAAGTCAATTCTGCCCACTCTAGGGACACATTGTCCGTTATGACCTCACTCTGCTGTAATGTGCTTTACTGCTCCAGAATAAACAAACCGTTGACACTGTACATGTACAGTAATTGTTAAACCCTGCAGCTTCTCTAGTGTGCTGCCTCTGTTTTTTATATGGTACTGTGTTAAGTCCCATGCTGGTGTCTTGGTGCAGTTCTCCTTCACTGTTGCTCCACACTACAATGGAAATAATGTGAGCAACTAAATGACATGAAACAAATAGTCTCATAAAAAACATTGCCAAATACAGGTTTGGGTTGTTTGAAATGTATTAATTAAATTATGAAATTAATGATCTTTAAGAAGCCTAAACCTGTTTGTGAATGAGTAATGCTCTTCACTATTTCTAGAGAGACAAACAAAGGCCGTTACTGAATTCTATAATTATGAAGAGCATCATATTGTACAGCAAAATAGCCTCAACCAGGATTTTGTGTCAGATCAGCCAAAACTCAAAAATGTGAGCATAGTTTTTGTGAAATTGATGAGTGGTACCATGGCCAGTACCGTTGGTAGATATAATGTTAACATGGTAATGGCCAAGGCACAAACACTGTGCCATGATGTACTGTACAGTATGTCAACATTTTGGTGGACCTTCATTACTCTTTAAAGCCACCATGCATAGAAAGGTGTGTTTCTTTATGATAATTTCATGCCAATTTACTTAGCCAGCAGATAGCTCCGTTGGTAGAATACAGGACTTGCACCCTAAGGATTTCAGGTTTGAGCCTTGCTTTCTGTAAAGGTTTGTTTTTTCTTTTTTTGTGTGTTTTTTAATCATTGTCTTCAACAAAGTTGTTATCAAGAGATTCAGGGGAATCCAATCACACATTTACCAACGGCTATTTCAAAGGTTCTGAAATAGCCGTCAGGAAATGTGTAGTTAAATGGATTCCCCTGAATGAGAAGCGGATGAATTCCTCTGCCTGGGAATGATGGGGAAATGAAAAGTCTACTCCAGCACGTAATTAATTGTGAGCATGTGAATCAGTCATCTTCATAACAACTTGGAATATGAAATATTTAATAACATGAAAGATTTTTTTTTTAAATTAGTCTTCCATGAGGATTAAACACACAATCTTAAGGCTTTGAACCATGTACCTTAGCAACTGAGCTATTCAGTAACCCTAATCGCCCCTTGAAATTACCATTAAGAAACGTTCTTGCCAACCCCTATGTTAAACTACTGTTTTGTTATCTCGAGATCACGAGAAAATTATCACGTTATCATGGGAAAACGGAGTAAAATAAAGATATGAATCGATGGCCGCTTAGGGCTTCCGTACTTAACATGTTTTCAGTGGTTGCGTGAGCAAACAAGGATACTCAGTGTTCTAGTGGGCTGAGACCATGTGTCTTTGTTTCTGCCTCATACTCCTACAATGCTTGCTCTTGCAAACTTGTATGTACTGTAGCTAACCGATGGCTATAACCAATAGCTCCACAAAACTACTGCACAGCTCAGCCAATGTATTTACATCCACTTCCCTCTTGCCCGTGAGTACTGGCAGACTTCCTTCTGCGTGGAGACAGCAATTTGGCAGGTATACTTTGGTAACAAATAATTTTCATTGAGTGTTCATTTGAGGTCTATGGCTTATCATAACTGTGCCATGATTTCTGGAACAAGATGTTGATGCTGACATTTTCAGATGTGGGTTTTGGACTCTTCGAGGGCCACAAACCCAAACCAAAACAGGCTGGCCTTCTACATAAGACGAAAAGAATGCTTTTTTGGGGGGTATTTTTAAATAACCTGCACCGCTCAGTTTATCCAAATGTTTACTAATCCTGGGGTTTAATTTTAAATCTTATTAAGGATCTTTCTGTGGACATGTGCTATTGCTGTGAACCTCATCAAATTAGTACACATGATATATTTTTGCGCCGAAAATTGATTTATTTCCCAAAATTGATTTATTCCCCATACAGTCTGTGTTACAGGACAGCTTGATCCAGACTGAGTTAATATTCAAGAAAGTATGAAGCAATTCCTAGAACTGTAAGACTGTCAAAACACCATGAGCACATGTACCATGACCTTATGTATGTTTTTTGGAGTGTGTGTGAAAGAGAACAGGCAAGGAAAAGGAGAGAAAGACGGAGAGGGTGTGAGGAAGTAATATAGATACAGAGAAACTGGGAGAGAGAGAGAGAGAGAGAGAAGAATACTGGCATGTTTCCATCTTTTCTCCACTTGGGACTCATGTGGTCACACTTTATCAACATCAGCCTTGGGCAGCCCACCAAAATACACACACATACTTCACACACACACACACACACACACACACACACACACACACACACACACACACACACACACACCACAATCAAAACATTGGAATGGCCTACATAGAGTTTTACACGCCATGTGTGTTCACTTAGTGTATTACCTCTCTGAATGTACCAATTGTGCTTTTATCACACTTAATCTGCACTTAACTTGATTTATTATAATATGTGCATAAATTAGTGTTTCACCCTTTGTTTCATATAGTGGAGGGATAGATCCTTTTTTACAGCAGTAGTCTGGAGATGGTGGTTGCAGGAGGTCAGCGGGGTTACACACAATTACCCTTGGTAACCCCCCCCCCCCAAGCTGTGGATTACAACCAGCTAGGCTTGGGGGGGGGGGTTGCTTTTGGTGAATCCTCATTCTTAAGGGTCAAACACATAGCTAACACCAAATTAGTGTCTCGATATCCTGGTTTTACTGGATATTTTCCAGTTATACGGTCTCCGTACACTTAGCAGCAGTCTATAAAACTACTACTACTAATTTCTGAACGATTAAAAATACTGTTCCCACACAAGTCAGTCACATCCACATACAAGTTATATATATATATATATATATATAGCTAAAACACAAAAAACACATCTAAAATGGGAAAGAGCTGGAGCACTGGCTCTTTGGTAAGCAGTTAGGATCACTGTCGAGTCCGACTGCCTTTAATTTGAGCAAATAATCACTTGTTTCACTCCCGGTTTGCTAAACGCAGCCATGGTAACAGATGCTTTGCCACTCAGTCCAGTGTGTTCTGCAAGGGGAAGTGACATCAACGCATACCCTCTATAATGGACATCAGACATCATGCAGTATTTAAAAACATTTATCAATAAAACTGTGTAACAAATCAAAACATTTTTTTCACTTTCCAGAATTAACACAAACTATATACAAAAAGTACATTTGAGGTTGATGGAAATTTTGATCTGATGATGGCACTAGATGACAAGTCAAGGGGTCATTCAAGTCAAAAAGCTACATGGTCGGGAAGCAATGAATGTGTATACAAATAGATGCCAATTCATCTTGGATAAGGGAAAACTTTGACATGCTTGTGACTCCAGACGAAAAGTCAGAGTATGACCAAAGTCATACATATGAGAGTCGCCGTCTGGACACCATGAACATCTGTGCAAAGTTCCATGTAAATCCATCTAATGCTTGTTGAGACACAAACAAAAAAGTCAACCTTATTGTGGCTCTAAGAGAAAAATCAGGTGGTCACCAAAGTCTTTAGAGTACATCCTTTGAGGAGCATGAACGTCTGTACAAAGTTTAATGTAAATCCACCCAAAAGTTGTTTAGATATTTCAGTCTGGACCTAAGTGGTGGACTGACTGACAGACCGATATTACCATCCTTAGCGCCAAGCCCCTAACTTGGCTAAAAACACAGTAACAATGTCCTGCATCTAAGGATAACTATAGCAAATATTAATAATAATAGTATATATAAATATACATAACTCCCAACATATTCTTGAGCTGAGTAAGTAAACTGTACTTCTGTACACAGAAGTTCTCTTTTTTTGGTTTTTGAGGATGTATGGTATTTATATAACAGACTGTTCCTAGAAATCCAGAGTACTTGTAAAACCCCATTCCTGAAATTCACTGATCCACAGCCCAGGGCACAGGACCACATCACAAAATGTACACATGCCCTCACCCAGACACACCAGATCTACAGTACACACATAAACACATACTTGTTGTGTACATGTATGAAGTACATACAAGAATATGTTGTTCCACATGAACAGGTACACAACCAGTGCACACAAAAATATACACTTCTAACTTTTACACTGCTAACTGCACATAAACATACACACACAAACACACAAACCTGACGACATGGGAAGCCCCCCCCCCAACAACCTCACAGGAAGTGCTCCTCCCCTGGACTCCAATTGGCTGCCACAATAGCCAATAGGCAGGGATGCCCAACTAGGAGTGGAGTTCTGGTTTTGTTCAAGTATCTTATTTGTAATGTCCGTCTGTCTCTTCGTCTCTTGCCTATTTGAATTTTTTTTTTCCTTCTGTATTTTTCCAAGGCTCTCTCTGCCTGAAGGCATCATCTTTCTGTTTGGTTTTTATGGAACTGTCATTTAGGCTGAGGGAGTAGGAAGAGAG